GAGGTGAGCAGACCCAGGGGCAAGGGGCGCTACGGCAGGCTGGGGCATGGTGACTCGGAGGTGAGCAGACCCAGGGGCAAGGGGCGCTACGGCAGGCTGGGGCATGGTGACTCTGAGGTGAGCAGACCCAGGGGCAAGGGGCGCTACGGCAGGCTGGGGCATGGTGACTCGGAGGTGAGCAGACCCAGGGGCAAGGGGCGCTACGGCAGGCTGGGGCATGGTGACTCTGAGGTGAGCAGACCCAGGGGCAAGGGGCGCTACGGCAGGCTGGGGCATGGTGACTCTGAGGTGAGCAGACCCAGGGGCAAGGGGCGCTACGGCAGGCTGGGGCATGGTGACTCTGAGGTGAGCAGACCCTGGGGCAAGGGGCGCTACGGCAGGCTGGGGCATGGTGACTCTGAAGTGGGCAGACCCAGGAGGCAGTGTGGGAGCGAGAGGGGAAAGAGGTTCTGCCTGCTAAGAGATGGGGGCTTTAAGGTGATCATTTTTCTTAGGAGGAATAGTTTTTCGAAGTCTCAAGTATTTTTGTAGAATTTGAATCATAAAAGATTAGCTGGAATAGTGTGGGGCCTAATACAATTTATTTCGGGAGTCGGGGCGCGGTAAAACTGCTACGCCTAGACACTACCGATCGAGTTCATACGATGGCTGTACCAAATCAGAGCCTGGCCAGAGATACGAGTTTCATTAATGAACGTCTTACGTGAGCTGAAAAATGGTGGCTTCAGTCTTGAAATCGTCTGATTTGAAGAGAAAAGTTGGAAATGATTTGAATTTGAAATTTCGGTATGAATCTATACTAAAAGACAGTTTACAGTGAAGAATACGATGGGACTATGGAAGCAATAGGTAAATTTGTATGGAGGAGGTAAATTATTCATGATTAAGTAAATTATATGAAAATTAAGCAACTCAAATATGAACTCCACTACCCTGAGCGTCCTGTAACTATATCTCCGAAAATACAGCTTCATAGAGGATAGCTTCATAACAGCCAATTATCATTAACAGACCCCGATTTTGCAAAAAATTTCGGGTAACACAATCAAGAACAAAACCAAAGATTAGGAAGTAGCATTCGTAATTTTTTTCAAATTTATATTGATGTATTAGCAGCGAACTTTAATGCAACTACCAATCGAAATGTAATAAAAAATTGCTTCGAACTGATAAATAAATATAAATGAGCGATCCCGAAGTAAGAATGAATTCAGAAATAAGCAAATAAAATTTTCGTGAAGCAGATAAATGTTAACGATTGAAATGGAATCATGAAATGGTATAATCAAATGAAATAATCAAATGTAATAACTGAATGGAATGTTCAACGAACCATCGTGCCCTCAGGACCAGCTGCGCCCTCGGCTGGTAGACGCCCTGCTGGGGCACCGGGTCGTGGACGTGGCCTGCGGCAGCGGCGACGCGCAGACGCTCTGCATCACCGACGACGACTGCGTGTGGTCCTGGGGCGACGGGGACTACGGCAAGCTGGGGCGGGGGGGATCTGAGGGCTGCAAGGTTCCCCTCAAGGTGGATGCCCTCACTGGCCACGGTATTATCAAGGTCAGTCGCTGAGGGTTCGGCTACATTTTACCGACAGGAATTGAATATTAGCGCGTTGATATGGCCTCAAGTCTTGTGAAGTTGTGTTTTACTTTAGGCAATAATAATAATAATTGTTGCGTGATAACGTAAGGAAATGATAAAAATATTTTACTATCATCTGTCATTTTAATGACGGCTCTTATTTAATTAAAGGTACACAAGAGAATTATTTGTCCTAGGAACTGCTTGGCCAAGCCAGCACTCAGGTCTAGTGCAGGTCTCACTCTCTTGCCCCACGCAGGTCTCACTCTCTTGCCCCACGCAGGTCTAGTGCAGGTCTCACTCTCTTGCCCCCCGCAGGTCTAGTGCAGGTCTCACTCTCTTGCCCCCCGCAGGTCTAGTGCAGGTCTCACTCTCTCGCCCCCCACAGGTTGAGTGCGGCTCTCAGTTCTCAGTGGCACTGAGCAGCAGTGGGTGCGTGTACACGTGGGGCAAGGGCGACTACCACCGCCTGGGGCACGGCAGCGACGACCACGTCAGGACGCCCCGCAAGGTCCTCACACTGCTGGGCAAGAAGGTCATCAGCATCGCTACAGGTCTATACCTAGGACTTTTTTACTTTATTCGATATTATTTATTCCTTCGGTTCTTGTGAAGTGTTGACAAGCAATTAAAAGGGAAATGTTCTCTATGTGACAGACATCACAAACAATTATCGCACTTTTTTACCCTATCCGATGTTATGTATTTCTTTAGTTCTTGTGAAATGTTGACATGCACTTAGATAGGAAATGTTCTCTATGTAATAGACATCACAGACAATTATCATAACAGGGACCTTGGCTTTTTATTCGGGTAGAGAGAGGTAGTGCAATCCAAACCAGTAACCGAAAAATTGTTATACCAAAACTCAGAATTGTAAAAAGCAAAGTACGGAGCCAACTAATTGTTCAATCACTGAAATTAATATTATTTATTATTACCTATCTTATGTTATTAGACTATGACTATTATGACTATTAGCCACTATTATTTTCTATTCTCGCTGCAACTTCATGGCGGGGATATATGAATTCTTGAGCTTGCAGAATTTACGTATCTTCTGGCCAAGATATTCGTAGAATTCATAGCGATTTGTTATGATAATTTCACGTGATACACAACTTAGCGCCCAACAATGACGCGGTGCCAAATAATGACGACGACGTGTGATAATTGACGATGTACACGTCAGGGTCGCTGCACTAGTGACGGTGACGTGTAATAATTGAGGATGTACACGTCAGGGTCGCTGCACTGCGTGTGCTGCACTAGTGACGGTGACGTGTACACGTGGGGGGACAACGACGAAGGGCAGCTCGGCGACGGCACCACAAATGCCATCCACAGCCCCCGCATCGTCATGGCCCTGCCTGTAATAATAATAAATAGCCATAAAATAATAGATAATATATATAAATAATAAATAAAAGACCATAAAAGATAATCGTGATCGGACACTCGTAGAAATAAGCGAGATTTGTTCCCAACAGCGAGGCAAACGTGTTACATGATAACGATACCTATGTTATGTTATTAGGTTGTAAGATCATTATGTGTTACGTTATTAGGTTGTAAGGTTACGGTGGGTTACGTTATTAGGTTGTAAGGTTACGGTGGGTTACGTTATTAGGTTGTAAGGTTACGATGTGTTACGTTATTACGTTGTAAGGTTACAATGTGTTACGTTATTACGTTGTAAGGTTACGATGTGTTACGTTATTAGGTTGTAAGGTTACGATGTGTTACGTTATTACGTTGTAAGGTTACGATGTGTTACGTTATTAGGTTGTAATATCACAATTGGTTACGTTATTAGGTTGTAAGATCAATATGTGTTACGTTATTAGGTTGTAGGGTTAGTATTTGTTACCTTATTACGTACGTAATTACGTTCCAGAACAAGAAGGTGAACCGCGTGGCGTGCGGGTCAGCTCACAGCCTCGCCTGGAGCACCAGCAGGGCGGTCACCAGCGGTCGCCTGCCCTCGTCTGTGCCTGTGGAGTACAGCGTGCTGAGGGAACTGCCCCTCCCCGCCCTCAGGAACAGGCTGGTGAGTACAGCGTGCTGAGGGAACTGCCCCTCCCCGCCCTCAGGACGTGCTGAGGGACCTGCCCCTCCCCGCCCTCAGGAACAGGCTGGTGAGTACAGCGTGCTGAGGGAACTGCCCCTCCCCGCCCTCAGGAACAGGCTCAGTTATTCCGCCAAAATTTTTCAAAACTTGCTCTTCTTCGCTTTATAATGATAATAATAATTAATAATAGTAACAATGTAATTTAATTTTGTATGTATCCGCGTAAATTTTTCAAACCTTGCTCTTTCTTCGCTTTTTAATAATAATAAGTATTAATAATAGTGATAATATTAATTTAGTTATATATGTATCAATTCACTTCTTCCTTTAATTACGTAATATACAACACCTACAGGTGTTACTGCACCACTTCTCCGAGCTCATCTGCCAGAGCGTGAGCATGTTCGAGCTGATGGGGGAGGACGCTGTCCCGGCACCGCCCCCCGAGGGACCTGTTCCTCCCCTGGGTGGGCAGGGCGTCCCCACGGGGGGCTCTGACCCCCAGCACATCAACAAACTGCGCTCCATCATCGTGCAGGCTGCTAAAGAAGCTGCCTTCAAGAAGGTTCATTTAATTCATGATCAATTGGCTTAATTCATTTAATTTATGATCAATTCATCTTCCTTCATTTCATTCATGATCAATTTGGCTTAATTCATTTAATTTATGATCAATTCAGCTTCCTTCATTTCATTCATGATCAATTCAGCTTCCTTTATTTCATTCATGATCAATTCAGCTTCCTTCATTTCATTCATGATCAATTCAGCTTCCTTTATTTAATTCATGATCAATTTGGCTTCCTTCATTTAATTCATGATCAATTCAGCTTCCTTCATTTAATTCATGATCAATTCAGCTTCCTTCATTTAATTCATGATCAATTTGGCTTCCTTCATTTAATTCATGATCAATTCAGCGGCGTGACAGTGAATATCATTGCAGCATTTCAACAATATTCGTTGTAATATAACAAATAATAATAATTATTTTTGTGCAAAAATCAGAATATTATCTGCTTCGGAAGTAAGCGAAGTTGTACTTCCAAATGTTTTATCCAGAACGAACAAAATCCTAACTTTACTAATGCAACTTTGAGATCATCAAGTTGAAGTCATTACCAGCCTTGATGATACTGTAGAATTGATGTAACCTCAGTGAAATATATAGTCCTATTTGATGCTGATATAATGAAACTTACGACATGCTGAAGTGAATGCTGCCCAGTGCTGACATGCTGCCCAGTGCTGACGACATGCTGCCCAGTGCTGACATGCTGCCCAGTGCTGACATGCTGCCCAGTGCTGACGACATGCTGCCCAGTGCTGAC